CATCAAGAGAAGTCTGTAATCTTCATGCTGGATTTCTCCCCATCTCCTGCCAAGTCAAATTTATATAGAAGTACCCACTGTTTCTAAATATGTTCAGTAATTGGAATAGGTAGTAAAATCAACAGTACCCTAGCATGAGCTAGAACTTAGCTGGGCCTATAATTTTCAAATCTTCTTCCAATAAAGGGATAAAATGAGGGTGATAAGAGAAGGAAAGAAAAGCTCAATCTTCCCTCCTGTTATGTCTTTTCTCTGCTTTACTAGGACCTCTTGCTCAACTACTTGAAAAACTCTAGGTGAGAACTTCAATGTCTTTTCATCCATAAAGTTGGGAACTACTGCACTATTTAACCACCCCTATTGATATAAGTGCTATAATCTAAAATGTTGTCTGTACTAAAAAAACTTAAAACTGCAAATAAGGTTTTTACCTTTTTCCAGTAGGGGAATCTTGTCCAATTCCATATGCAAGAAGAGCTGCAGATGGTTCATGTATTAACCGCAAAACATTAAATCCAGCAGCTCCAGCTGCTTCTCTGTGAACAATTTGCTTTTAATGAATCTAATATCACATGTTCAATTCTACAGTTTTAGAAATGCTCTGTTAAAGATTTTATGCAATAGCAAATAAGATTTCACAAGTAGAACATGAAGGGTAATGATCTTTAGAAGCAAGAAAAATCGAAGACAAGAAATAGATGTGACTCTATAAGAGTTCACACTCTGATTAAAATTATAATTTCAGAGCCCATTTTGTTGACAAAGAAAACAATATGTGCTTATACTGAATAAGGAAAATAAAGTACTCAAAAATGTCCACGCTGAAAAAAAAACGTTTGTTTTCTTTAGGAAATCTTTTTGGGCTCTCAAAGTCAAGGAGAAGTCCCTTGCATTCATGCTGCCCAGAACTTCCCCATTCAAAACACTTACCACACTCTATCATAACTGTCCTGTTAACTCTGTGAGGTCAGAAACCATATCTTATCTCTATATACTCAACCCTGCATACAGTGTGGCTTAAATAGTAAAGGTAATCAATAAACATTTGTTGAATGGAAAAAAAAAAATGTCCATGCTTACATACTTTAGAATGAGATTAAGACAAATTTATAAAATATATGGAATTTGAAATTTTCAATTTCTTTAATCTAGAGTCACAATTTTAAAAAGTAAATATGGCAATATATTTCACTATTACGGTAGCAAAAAAAAAAAAGAAAGAAAAGTAAATAAGGTAATTCTATGCCTCAGAAACAACTTTGATGCTTGGCCAAAGCCCCGTATGGAACTCTATGCAGCAAAGCAAAGGCTTGCATGCTCACCAATTACATGGACATAATAACTTGTACAACTAAATACAACTTTTATTGTTTAGATGTTAAGATCTAAGATGAAGGGGCCGGCCCGGTGGCGCACTGTGATAGTGCGCCGCTTGGGAAGCGCGGCGGCGCTCCCACCGAGGGTTCGGATCCCACATACAGACTGGTTCTCGCTCACTGGCTGAGCGAGGCGCGGGAGCAACGCCGAGGGTTGCTATTCCGTTGCCGGTCCCGGTCCGGTACGGGGGCGACACTGAGGGTTGCGATCCGTTGCCGGACACGGAAAAAAGACAAAAAAAAAAAAAAGATCTAAGATGAAGAAATAATCACAAATATTTTCTAAAATTGCATATTCTTATTCAGTTCCCACATAAACGTAATTACAGAAAACTAAGGTAAAGTGATTCATACATAGAAATTTAACCTTGTAATTAAAAATTCTTCCAATCAAAACAGCTAAGAGGCTATACCCCATCTAATTTTATGTTCTCAAAACATTTCATAAAAGGAAAGGTTAATGATCATTACCATACTAAGTTATTTACAAATACAATTTTATAGCCTAAGGTATTTTCAAATACAATTTTGCCTTTTATTATTTAGTGATATTGTGAAATTTGTATTTCCTTTAATTAAGCAAATAAGATAAACCCCTTATTATACTTACCCAAGAGCATGTTTTTGCTTATCTCCAAAATCAAATGGAACAGTAATAACTACATCATTTGCATCTGAGCCCAAGACAGAATGTGCCGTTTCTGTATATTAAAAAAAATAAAATAAATAAATTCTGATGACAGAAAAAAATGTCAAGTGATATCTTCTGAGGTTTATTAATTTATGCCGAAGATTTCACTAAAAAATTTTCCAATTTGCTTGACTGCCCCACCCTGTCAATTTTCTTCTGTTGTGCTCTTAAATCAAGCAGTGGTTTTTGTGGTTTTGGTGATAGCTTGTAGACACAGAAGTAGTTCTTAGGCTTCAAAGTTTCAACCACCTTCCAAATTAGACTGGTTCCAAAGAGAATGAGCTCCTAACGCATCAATGGGAAGACACAACATCACGTTAATTCAATACATTAAAAGTCTGTCTTCCATCCTACAAACTTATAACATAATTCTGGAAATTGAAGTAAGCCTCATAAATAATCTACTTTGGAATTTCCCAAATTGTTCCATAGAATACTGCTCAGCTCAAGAGCCTTTGTATGTGATGACAAAATCAGACCTACTTAATCTGCCTAAATTACTATTGAGAGTGCACTGCAAACCTTGAAGACATATATATAATATTCACTATTTACCAAATTTATTTGGCTGCTGAATCTTAAGAAGTTTTGAAAATGCTAATCTGGCCCAATCCATTTATGTTATTTATAGGGAAATCAAAGTCAGGAAGGTAAGTCATTTAACCAAGGTCTCACAGCTGATCAGCAGCCAATCCATATCTAAAATTTAGGTCTCCTTACTGCTATCCACTCAATAACTCTGCTTCTCCCAAGATCTGAAATCACTAACATTTTTTTTAAGGTCAGTTTTTTAAAAGTTAATTGTTATTTCTTTTGCTCAATACCTTTCATTTTACTAAATATCAGTCTGGCAACATCTTCTGGATTAACAAATTTTGTTTCTTCTCCAGTATCTATTTTGTATCGTAATTTTCCATTTTTTTCGATGACCTATAAAAGAAATTATAATTGTGCTAAATAAGGAATAATTTTAATTAAAATGCAAGGTTTCAAATCAACATTAAATGTCATGACCTTGGTAATTACTTTGTGTAATAGGGAAGCATTAATAGAACCATACTCACTAAACATTTACTTTCCGTAATGTATTTCTGAGCTTGTGGATCATCGGAGCTGTCCATAAAGAAAGATAAAGATAGCTAAGTATTAAAATCAGTACTGCAGATTTATAAGGTTTAAAGATGACTGCATTCTTCAATACCACTGAACAAATATTAAAATATAAATAAAATTATTAACTGCTTAATACTAAAAAAGTCTTCAAATATTACAGAAGACAGAATTAAATGGAGTATTTACCATGGTTAGAATAATTCTACTAATGTGTTAATCTTCGCATTTGAAAGTAAACAGCTCTTTCTTGTTTTGACTTTGCTATTAACAGATGTTATACATTTTGGGATGATTTTTCATATCAATTATTTTATATCACATTTTTTCACATCTATGATCCTGAAGACCCTTTTCAATCACTGAGATGAAAAGGACAAAAGACTGCAAAACTAAGGGTAAACCAGAATACCTAACACTATCTTTATTGCTTGGTTTCTAAATATAAATCAACACCAAAAACCAAAAGATTGAGCAAAAGTATGAATGTTGTATATGGAAAGGTGCAGAGTACTATAGATAAGCATATATAGACAGAACTATAAGGTCCCACACAAAGTAAGTACTAAATAAATGTATATGGCAATGAAGAAATTAAAACAATGGGTGTTATGCTGCTCAAAATAGTAATACCAATTTACGTGACTACAAATGTTTTCACATATACGAGGGTACTTCAAAAAGTTCAAGGAAAGATTTGTATTATCTTTCAATTCTATTTTTCCATGAACGTTCTGAAGTACCCTGGTATTACCTCACTTGATCCTCACGACACCTACGTGGGATATGTTTGGCAGGTATTAAAGATAAACAGGTTCAGAGAGGGGTAATGACTAATAAGCTAATATGAGGTAGGGCCAGGTCTTCTCCATCAGGCTACTATTGTTTATACTTTACCATACTGCTTCCCAGGAAAACTGTAAATGACCATAGTACTTCTGCCCTTGAACAGGGATAAGAATTTCTGATCCCTGGCTTAATTTCATCTATAAATTAAGATGACATCGACTAGTATCCTTCCAGTAAACCCTTCTTCCAAAGGATTGTGGCTATTATGTTCAGAAACCAGCCTTAAATGTTTAATATGAGGAACTGAAAATTAACAGTGGCTAATTGCTGAAGGGTTACAGAACAGCTGAGGACCTAACCCTGTGTAAATAAGCAGAAGACAAAAGGGGTTTCAATTCTGGTTTAGAACTCTAGAATACTTGCAGGTTCTTCAAACTTCTTCCTCTACCACTTAAAAAATCAATTAACGGAAGAAACTGGTAAGCAGCTTGTCCAAAGTCACATGCCAGGGCACACAGTCGATGGCATAATTGGTTGGCATCCAGATCTTCCATACAGTTTACTATCCTTTCTAGTAAACCCTCCATTCCTACCTTTTCCTAAACCCAATATTTGGACTACATTCCAGACAAATATTTTAAGAGTAGGAAAAAAAGATAACGTACGCCCATAGTGGATTTTGCACCAATATTATGATTTTAGCATAACAGTTACTGGTTCAGTTTTCTTTAGAATAGAACTTAAGTCAACCAGGGTAATTTATCCTATTATGTGTAGGTTATTTACCACTCAGGCAAGGTAATTTGCTAGGAAGGATGTTGTACAGAATTTATAGAATTCATAGAAATAGAAAATTATTTCTCAATTGCCGTGCAAAGAGAGCCTCTCTCATGTGAGGACAGAAAGCATATGTAGCTCTTAGGGCCACATATAGGGAAGACACTGGAGAGTAGTTAGCAGAGAAGTAGGAAGCAGAGTATGGAGGCAACAAAGGATCACAGATATCATCAGAAAGTAGTGAACTGACCCACAACTACATACAAGTAGAAACTTTATTTGTCCACACAGGGATTAAATTAGTTAACAGAAAAACGATGGTGGTGGGAGGCTGATACACACAGCACCTCATTTACATCATGGTCCTCAGGCGGCAGAGTTGACTGTATCACAACCTTTGCCAGCAATGCCATTTTCTCCTCCTCCTCAAATCTCTCGCACAGTCAGCGGGCCCATGTGCCCGGCACACGCCAGTACTCATGTGCTACAGGGTCTTCTTCCCCACTCCTGTTACATGATAGAGCCTTACACATCTACAAGCACTTTAACATTCAACTGCTCATTTGATCCTCACAACAGCCCTGTGAGGTAGGTAGGACAATGGTCAGCTTCCCACTGCAGAGATAAAGAGCCTGAGTTACAGAATGGCGAGACTTGTCTCAGGTGGTGCAGGTAGTAGCGGTGGGGCCTTGGGCGTAGGCGGGATTCCTGGTTTGCTTTCTTGCACAGTCTCTACTTGTTGCAACTTCCCTCCCCTTAATGTTTTTAGCCTGTTTTTCTGTTCACTTCTTCAGGACCTTTCCCTGGAGTTCTATCCCCATATTAAGGTAACTTTACCCATTAGATTTTCCCAATACTACCTCCAAACTTCTGTTCCTTAGCACTTCTCTCATCTCAAATAAATCTCTGCCTATGTATTTTGCTACCATTAATAGATTTATATAGTACAGGTCTAACTTTCCTTCAAGTACGTCTCTGTTTTTCCAGAAAATCTACTATCTACATTAGCATTATCCAGTAATAACTGATACACATCCTTCCATATAATGGCCTAAAACAATTACGACAACGTATATATATGTATCCATTTCGATGTCTTAATATCTGCTCCTTTAAAGCAAGAAATCTGTATGTCTGGTGTGGTACTCAGTTTGTAAGTATGTTAATAAATACTAATATCATAGAATGCTTCCTTATAATTGTTACCAGTATTTCAAACATACATTAATATGCTGCTGTGACTGAAAATATTACAATTAAACTTCCATTTTCATTTTGCCTTTTTAAATTATGCTATTTAAAATATTTTAAAACTGGAAAGTACTAGAAAAAAATCATCTAGCACAAATCCCTCAATTTAAACACCAAGGTCAAGGGTTCAGATCTGCATACTGACCAGCCTCTAAAACAAACAACGACAACAAAAAATCTCTGAATTTAGAAATAAAGAAACTAAGGCATAAAAAGGACAAGTGATTTGCCTAATGAAACCAACTGTGACAGGATTAGAATCCCGGAGTTATAACTAGATTCCAGTGTATTCTACCACGCCACCTGCCTCCCACATCCCTCACTCATTCATCAGAGCAGCTTGCGTGCATCTATTCAGGGTTCCAGGTATGGTCCCACTGCTGTTTTGACCACAGCTCCACCCATTTGTAATTCTAGCATGTAGCTAACTAAGCACCCATGCCTGCAAAATATAAAACAAAACCTTTCCCAACACGCCCACTTTTTTCCCCAGCTTCTAGATTGAAGGAAAGCTTTTTAAATCCCAAAGATTCCTATTTGTATTTCCTGAAAGCACTAAGTAAACCATTAGAAGGTTTAAGTTAGTTTAGCAGTAGCCAGTAATGACTTCCCTTCTAAAGTAAATTGGAAGTGTGGCTTATCGCCTTCATCTCTCCCAAAGAACTGAGTCTGTGTGTGTGCAAGGAGTGTATTTGTTGAGGACTTGTGCTTAAAAGGAGTTCACCACTGAAGACTGTCTTTATCCACACCATCCTCCAGTGCTCTCAAAGCTGAAGGGAAAACAAAGCTTCTTCCACCATATGCCATTAACCACGTGAACTTTTGTCTACGCCATATGAGAAAAAGTGACCTTGGAAAGTTCCTTAAAAAGAATGTTTTCTAGGGCTTGTCCTCTATAATATACTAGACAAAAAAAAAAAAAGACACTAACAGAAAAGGAATAAAATTAGCTTAAAGCAGATCAGAAACTGATATAATCGAAATTGTTTCCACAATGTTCAAATGGCAACCAAAATTAAAAGACATAATTTAAGCCTATAAAGGGACCCAAATAATATAAATGTAAAAAATGTACTCACATTTAATATTTTATAAAACAGCCAATATTTCACTATATCAAAGACTGTCAATATGAGCCATAACATACTATTGTGGCTCCTCTTAATTATATCCTTATATTTGGTAGGAGTACTAAGAGCTAGTAAAGTGAAGGAAAGAAAGATGGTTTGACTATTAGGTGTGCTTACTAGTGGATAAGTCAGAGACACAGCAGTGAAAATATTAAGAGACAAAGGTACAAATACATGTTGTGCCTATACTAGTCTAATGAGCCACAGAATGATTTAAAAACTTAAGATCTCCAACTCCATGAAACAGTCAAGTTAAACTAGTAAAGGAAAGATTCAAGCAATGAGGTCATGGTATACAACCATACTTCTATATCTTGTAAACTAATGTGCCTCACCCTAGCCTTACTTCAGCCAAGGTTGTGTGCATTAATAACTTAAATGTGTATAGTGCTTTTAAACTCTTTCACATCTATTAGCCATTTAATCCTCACAACAACCCTGTGAGGTAGGCAGGGCAGGAATTATTATCTATATCCCCATTTTACAGATGAGGAAATTGTTGTAGAGAGGTAAATGAAATTGCCTTACATCAGTGATAAAGCCAGGACAAACTAGCTCTCTTGGACTTGGCTCTATTCTAAGACACCCCTCACACTTCTGAAAGGTCTTTCGATTAGTGGAAAATCTTGGGAAAAGGAACCAGCAAGTATGTTCCTACTACTCCGCATATTAATGGTTCATCCACTCTTTCTTCTCTGCAGACACAGAAAAGGAGCCAGGGTACCAGAAGGCAGGGGTTGGAACAAGACTTGTACCAGTTTAGGAAATATACTCTTTTGTAATCAGTTCCTAGCTTTTGGTATTTGAAATCAACCTCTGAAGCAATTTCTCGAGCCCTAGCTGAAAAGCACCAGTTGCCTCTTCCACTGCTGTCGCCAATCGTCTGACCGCAATGACAGCATCCCTGCGAAGCTCATTGGCAGTGTCCTGCTGAGCACTGGCCTCCTCACCAATAGCAATCAGCCTGTCCAGTTTTTCTTCCTCTCTCTTTGAAAGCTCTCGTGCCAATCTCCTGTTTTCTGCCAACTCAGCTGCAATAGTCCTGGCCACCGACCGCCTTCTTCGCCTTGCCCACCTTGGAGGGGGCTCACTGGTCACAGGCCTATCCCCACCAGAAACAAAACCAGCTCTGGAGGAGGAGACTGGAGGCCGCAGTGTGGAGGCTATACCAGGAGTGTTTCGGCCGCTGCTGGTGCAGGGACTGGGCTCACTGGACACACCCAGTCTGGTCATGGGGCTGCTCTGACATGGAGCAACTGCACCTCTGAAAAGGTTGTGGGAGTTGCTGTAGCTGGGGGTCCCTTGAGAGCACCCTGAAAAACAAAGCAACAATGTTGCAAAGAGGACATTCCTGCTAAGGAAATGCTTGGAGCCAGCAGCAGAGTTGAGAGACAATTATAAAACTACAGCAATTCCTGGGAAGGCCTCTTTCCACAAGGGACTGGGAAGAATTCATTTCCTTAATCTGGACATTTTGGCCTGTTGTAATCTTTCCTCCACAACTTCCCTCTTGCCTTCCTTAACCCATTCCCACACAGCTATCCAACAAGCTCTATACCCACACACTCCTAAGTACCCATTATAAATAAGGCCAAAACTAGTTTGGCTCTAAAGAGCATGTCTAGGTTTAAGGAGTTCTAATATCTTATATACCTAGGGTCATAGCTTTTTAAAATCTGGAGCCCTTTATCTTACTATTAAGTTTTTAAAAACCGGATGGGGGAGAATTAGGGACTATACTGAAGAAGACACTATTCAACATATACTGCTGTTTAGAGCCAAGTGACTCTGGGACCCCAATCTTTCACATGCCTGGGAGTTACCTGCACCCGAGGATTCATCCCAGGAGTCCTCGAGGTCACTGGTTTCTTGTATCCGGTCACTGATTCTCAGGTGACAATCCTCATCTGATTCCTTAACTGTTTTCAAGATAGGCTGATGATCAGCTGCCTGAGTCCTTTTTGCTTTCAGAATGCTGGTTCCCTCTTTCCCTGGGGTGTCAGAGGCCACTAAGTTCTGATCACAGTGCTCGGCCCAAGCAGTATCCTCCATTAAGTTGTCTGGGTCAGTCGCTATCTGATTTCGGAGAAGTTGATCCAATGTATCATAAAATGGACAATGTGGTGGATCACCCATGCTTGTGGCATGGGCAACATAGGCCTTTAAATATAGTGCCTTCAGGACTTTAAACTTGGAGCGGCACTGACGTTCAGTGCGGCGGAAGCCTTCCTGCTGCATTCGCTTAGACACAGCCTGGTAGACATCTGCATTATGATGCACAGTCTGGAGGCGCTGAATATACTCTGCCTCTCCTAATATGGAGAGAAGAGTTCGTGTCTCCTGTCTGGACCACCGGATGCCGGCACTGCTATTGGTACTGGCCATAGTGGATTGAAAAGGAAGGCTAAGGAAGAAAACTCCTAGGCAGCAAGGTGTAAATTTGAAGGTGTGGGGAAGCTCTGTGTGCTCTCAGTGTATTTCCAGAAGCCCGCCGATTCTTCCCGCTCAGGACTAATTGTTGAGAAGCCAGGTCCAAGGACCGCATTTCTGGCTGGAAGGCCACAGGGGAATGAGAGTTACAGGGAGGGTGTAAGGACAATTTCGGCAGCAAGTTAAGTGGTGCTACCTGTGAGTAGGTCATAAATAGGCATGAGGCAAAGACTGAGAACGCCCAGCTTTCGGAGTTCGTCCAGGATGTGTACTGGAATGGGGGCTCATTGGCTTCATAACAAAAGGACTGGCTACTCCACAAAGGGCCAAGTGCTTCCAAGGCTGAGACCTGGTACAACTATGCATCTGTGAAAATCACCATTTTCTGGTGAGTAGACAGGCTTAGGGGGGAAATAAGCTGGACTACGAGGCAGCTAACTGTGGAGAAGTGCTAGCAGGACCATGGTGTAGCAATATGTCTGAAGGGCGCTCTTCCTTTACTAACCTCCCCCTAAGTAACATGCTGTACCTATGAGTTATCCACCTGACTGTCATTATTGCACTCCTTTGCTAAAAGGTAACTTCCAGGGCCAGAAAAGAAAACTTAAGTTTCTCTGCTAATACAAAGCTTTTTGCATAACACAGTAGAATACAGCCACATCAATACCATAATCTGTCCCCAAATAGCAGCATAAAACAAACCAGCAAAAGCATATTGCTGGCAACCAGGGGACAGATCTATGGAAATGTTCTGTATCTTGACTGTATCAAAGTCAATAGCCTGGTTGGGATACTGTACTATAGTTTTGCAAGATGTTACCATCAGGGAAGTGGTAATTCCAATAAATATAACTGATGTCTCTGTATTATATCTTACAACAGCATGTGAAACTATAATTATCTCAACACAAAAGGCTTAATTAAGAAACAAACAATCATACTGTTGGCTGCTCAGTGATTCTGGCTTCCAGATCCATCTACAACTCCCTGTTTTTTTCCAGTTTATGATTTGAAAATATTTGACACCACTAATTTATTTTTAATACGTCTAGTACTAAGTTGTGTCAACAGGTAAAAGGAAATGGGAATATGTACATTACAACAAAAATTTGAATTCTCTGCAAAATATGATAATTCTCAGCTTAGTGCATAGATATCCCAAGGAGAAAAATATCAAGCTCAATTTAACTAAACACAGGTAAGAGATAAAACAAACAAACAAACAAACAAAAAAACCCAACCTTTATGTATAAAATAAATAAATACTAAATTTAATCAATAATCTTGAAATCTTAAAATCAACACAAGGAAATTTCTACTTAAATTCTCACTAAACAAAGTAGAAAAGAAAGAACCTGGGGCTAAAAATTAGGAGACCTGAACTTCAGTCTTATCTAGTTCACTCCCCTTACTTAGAAATGCCACAACTTCCATGTGCCTTGATTTTCTCATCTATAATGGTAGGGACAGTACCTGCCCTACCAATTTTACAGGGATGTTGAGAGGATTAAGTAAAATAATAGATGTGAAAGCACTGTGAAAATTTAAAAACACTCTATCAAGTATTACTTCTCTAGTGAAAATAAAAACCCCTAATTATTATGGTAATCTATAATTTGAGGAGACAGAAGTCTGGGGAAGTCTGGGGAAGCAAGCCTCTTTAATCTTCTAATTAAAGTTACAATAGATGATTAACCTGATTCTTACATAAGACAGTAATTAAGCTGTTTCTCTAATGATTAAATTTGTAAGCCTACTGGAAAAGTTAGTTCCCAGAAAGTGTCACAAAAGACACTGAGGAAGAAAATCGATAGGGTCTACATAAATTATGACCAATTGTAATAGATTTTGTAAAATTCAACCACACTGCAAAGAAGTCTTCAAATTTCCAAAAAATCTTTCACATTCCCTCAGTTAAAAAGGTAATACAATAATGTGAAAAGTCCATTACCACCTCGGAATGACACAAATTATCAAAATTAGTGAAAGCTGACATTGATCAATACTAACAGAGTTCTTAGCAAGAAGCGAATGTCTGAGTGAATCCCATTCTTGAGAAGATCCAACGTTAATAAGCAAAAGTAACAGCCTACTGGGATACTCTCCAAATGACTCAGTATAAAAAGCAACAACAAAAAAATGAACTGTGATGTTTCTAGTTTCATTTCATATTATGCTTAGAATTTATAAACACATTTTATTACCATACTTAAAAGTATCATTTTATTCCATACCTTCTGCCAAGGATCTGCTTTACTTTCATCACGGTATTTGAAATATTTCTTATTCTACTTTGTTTTGCTGCCAGTCCAACTACCTGAAAAAAAGCAACACATTACAATGCACGTAACCCATAATTATTTCGAAGTCCAAAAATGAGGGGAACACTACCTCTTCATTTTCTGAGTAAGCAACAACAGCTGGAGTAACTCTATCACCTGCGTCATTTGCAACCACATCAGCCCGGCCATCCTAGAGAAAAACACACAACTGTATTAGTTCTTTTGAAATGAAATATATAGTCTCATTAGACATATTCAGACATATGTGGGCCAGTGTTTCTTTGCCGTCTATGTAGAAACAAAAATTGCTATGGCAATATTTTAAACTTGTAGATTTAACTACAAACACTAATTTCCTAGTTTTTATAAAAGGCCAGTCCTTCTGTAGAAAAATGAAGAACCGCCTCACTTTTTCAGTCTGCTCTGCGTAGTCAACAATTTGATCAAACGTAACAATCTTTCTATACACAATAATACAAAGTTATTAGCACATTACCCTTTCTACTTCTATTCCCTCCTCCGCAAATACATCTTTATTCCCTTTTCTGGCACTAATCCCTTTGGTTTTTCCTCACAAATCATTTAACATTTAAACACTGGGTTAGTAGCGTGCAAGTTCATTACTATTGTTCCTTCAGCCTTCCCACCGACGAGAGGAAGGCCACAACTTGTCAAGCTCTCTCACTTCCAGAATGGCCAAGTCTGTACAACAGGCACAATCAACTGGCTTCACAGCCAGGCACGCTTCGCGGGATCAGCAGCTTCATTTCCCGATCTCGGCCACCCCGCCCCTCCAGGTATAGCACGTTTGGGCCCAGCTCAGCGCGTCCTGTAACCCTGACGTCCCTGAGACCGCCCGCCTCTGGGTATCCTGGGGTACTAGCCTCTGGGACCCCCTCCGGGCATCCTGCGGCCCTGACATCCCGGGATCCCTCCGTGCATCCTGCGACCACGACGTCCCCGGGACCCCTCCAGGCATACTGCGGCCCAGACGTCCTCGTGACCCCTCCGAGCATCCTGCGATCACGACGTCCCGCGACACTTCTGGGCATCCTGCGGCCCTGATGTCCACGTTACCCCTCCCGGCATCCTATGACCACGATGTCCCGGGACCCCTCTGGGCATCCTGCGGCCCTGACGTCTCCGTTACCCCTCCCGGCATCCTACGATCATGACGTCCCGGGACCCCTCCGGGCATTCTGCGGCCCTGACCACCTGACCCTCCGGGCATCCTGCGGCCCTGACGTCCCCGAGACACCTCCGTGAATCCTCGCGACACGACGTCCTCGGGACAACTCTGGGCATCCTGCGGTCACGACATCCCGGGACGCCGCGCGCCGGGGTCACCACACGCCTCCACCGGGGCGCAGCGGGCTTTCCTGAGGAGTCGCTGGGGACGAAGCTCGGCCGTTCGCCTGCAAATGTCCCCGCAGCAACGCCACTCGCGGGACATCCCTAGGCCGGCGACACGCCATTCTCAAGCCTGTAGATGACCATGCGCCCAGAGAACTGGGTGGCCGGCATGAAGCAGTCCCTCACCTTATAGACGGCCACACAGGCTGATGTGCAGCCCAGGTGAACTCCGATGGCCGCCATGAGGCGGCAGGGACGACAGCGGCGCCGGCAGTAACGAGGGATTCCCCCAGCGGCAACAGCTACTGGCAGCCGATTGGCCCCATCAGGCACAGCCGAGAACACGTTCCTACCGCCCACTGCGCCGACTCCGCGCGTCGGCCTCCAGCGTCGCCACCAATCAGCCTGAAGGTCCCGAGCAGTCGGCGAATAGCTTTAGAGAGCCTGTCCTCGCTCCGCGCGAGCTGTACGGCGCGTGCGATAGTGCGCACGCGCCAGCCTGGAAGGGAAAGGAAGAGGCTCCTTCGCTCCGCCCCCTTCCGAATTCCCCTTTCGTGAGAACCAATGGGAACTCTCAGTTGACTTGCGTCATGTGTCCTAGCAACTCCCGGCAGATTCACTCCAACTTTGCGCTTGGCACTCCTGCATCTGCAGCGGCCCAGGGCGGTAGTATCGCGGCTGTGTGTGGGTGCGGGTGGCCCAGGCGATTGGAGCTGCTGGCTCAGCATGTGGTGCGCGAGCCCGGCTGCCTTGGTGGCCTTTTGCGCCGGGTTTTGGGTCTCTAACCTGGTGCCAGCGCGGGGCGAGGGGGCCGACTGTGAAGGTGAGCGGTGTGAGACCTTGCATGGTGGCGGCACCGCGCGGCAGTGCAGCTGTGTCGGCTTTGGCTTCTCCGGATCCGGCCTATAAATAACAGTTCACTCAGGAAATGCGGGCCCTGTCCCTAGTTGTAGATCACCTTTGCCCAAGCTTAGGCAAAAAGCTCGAGCCAGGCCCAGTGACACTTTGAGGCCACGTTCTGGTTTGCTGTGAATATTTAACTGCCGCAGTAAAAGCTGGTGGATTTGGATTTGGATTAGATTTGGTGCAAACTCTGCTAGACTTAGGTGACCCTGGCGCCACACTGATTCTGCTGCTTCTAACCGGAGAGACTTGCCTTTCCTTGCACAGAAGACATCTTACGAGTTCAAACTAGTTTGTGACTCTCAAAAGGCAAATAAAACATGACACTGAGTTGGGGTGGCTCAAATCAGAGGATATAGCTAACATTTGTAGGACTTTACAGGTAAAAGTTCCTTTACGGAGGAGTACATTAATTCCTTAGGAAGGAAGGGGATACAAAAGAATGATTCCATTTTTGTTCACAGTGTTTCAGCTGTGGACTTGAGTCAGAACTCGTGGCTCTGTCCCGCCAAGTCCACCAGCTCTGAGGCTGTCGTACCTGGTTCTTGCAAAATCAGCGTTCTTCACTGGAGAGGACTGTTACCAAGAGCCAAGAAGATAATAGCAATGCTAGCCCCTTCCTCTTGGACTACTGTGGCATTAGCCTCCATGTTTCATTGAAATCGTTTAAATGTATATCCCCCGAGCCTGAAAATCTCTCTCTACCGAACAGGAAATTGTAGGCTCAAATTATATATTGAATGAATGCATGAGTATAGTCTGTACTATAAATAAAGTCTTAATAATTGGAGTCCAGCTTTCTATCAACCTTGGAATAATTCAGCTTTTCTCCAGAAATCTAAAATATCTACATGTTATTTTTTTTATACTTGATATAAAGATACTTGTTTAGCTAAGTTTTCTTAAAGATACCTTATGACTGTGTCCTATACATTTAAAGCAAAAATTTGTGAGGTACGGATAATTGATTTGATGAGCCATCAGTAATTTACTTTCTGGATCTTTCACCTAAAAACATTTCAGATGAGACACCATCTGGGTTAGTTAAATATGAAGCATATGCCATCTTTCCTAAATTTATTACAGCATGTTGTGATTATTAACTTGCATGTCTGACTAATCTGTGTATGTATTTCATTTGTTAGGTAAAGAGACTATCATCACAGAGAGAGGAAATACTAGTTTTGGAACAAGAAGAACTAGATTCTAGATCTGGCGCTGTTACTGTTCATGAGCCTTTATTAGCCACTTAAATTCTCCTTGATGTGTAAGATTAAAATGCTATATTTTATAGACTCTAGAGCAAAGATAAGAAACCAATAGTTCACCTTGGACCTACTGATGCATTTTGTCAAGTTCACAAAGCATTTTGAAAAATTTTTTTTAAATTAATCAGATACAGTTTAGAATTGGGAGATGTCCTGTAAACATTTCAGATTTCTGTCTTTTCTTGAAAAACCAGATGACCTGGCAAGACTGGCCCATATGGCCATGTGGTGAGCATTGGCTATGGCTGCTCTTTTTAGAAAGACCATGTGTTCTCCAGGTTTTGGGGTGTTTTTTCCCCCCTAGTCTCAAATTGCTTTACTCTTGTTTTACTTGCCTGGCTTCTGTGGATATTTAAGTTTGTGAGCCTTGTGTTAGGTAATGTGAGGCTTACTGCAAAAATGTAAAGGTTTGCAGATCTCTAAAAGGATTGTATTATGGAACTATTTTATTTTACTTTATTTAGTTATTTTGGAGGCTGGCTGGTGTGGTATGGGACTATTTTTAAAAACTTTTTATTTTGAAATAATTATAGAGTCATTTTGGAACTTTTTTAACTTTAAATTTTTTATTGAAATGTATTGATTGTACATAGTTGTCATGTACAGAGTTATATTTCAATACATGTATACAATGTGTGATGATTAAATTGGGATGATTAGCATATTCATCACTACAAAACTTAATCATTTCTTTGGGATGAGGACATTTGATCTCCTAGCCATTTAATAACATGCAGTAAATTATTGGTAATTATAGATGCCTAGCTCCACTGTACACCAATACAATTTATTTTTCCTATCTAGCTGTTTTGTGTACATTTATCAACCTCTCACTGTCTTTGGGATTATCATTAATAAACAAAAAACTGCAACATAAATAAAAGGAATATGGTTATCTGAGGTTATTATAGCAATAAATACATACCAGGAACCATAAGTTATTAATTTGTTAGGTGATTTACAGTGAGATTATTCTCTTTGTGTAAGTTCAAGGAATGAATTTGTATTCTTACCTTGACTTCTCTGTGGCATGTAACACCACTGACTTCTTTTCCTTTCGATGACTTTCTTCCATTGATGACTGTGATACTGCTTTTTCCCTTGCCTTTGCTTCCTGTCTCTGTGCCCACTTGTTCAAAGTATCTTTGTGGGCTTCTCATTCTCTAGCCATGGCTTAAATATTAGATTTTCCAGGGTTCTGCCCTCTGCCCTTCTCTCATCTCTGTCTACACACTTTGGTGTAATTAAAATCAACCTACCTACAGTCTGATAAGTACCAAACCTTTATATCCAACCCATCTCCTTTCTAGAGTTCCAGACCTTGCATCCAATTGACTACTGAACATCCTCTCTTAGATACTGTACCTTCAGCTCAACACAGTCAAAAACCAAAGTCATCATATCCTTCTTATCTCAGTCTTCCAAACTTGTTACGCTTATGGTGTCAGCATGAGTCAGCTACCTGGTCAACTAGCCTGGGTTCTAGACTTCTTTTTCTGCCTTATCCCTTGCAGCCAATCAATCACTGTTCCCATTGCTTCTACCTCCATATCATATATGCTGTGATAAAAATTGTGTACACTCATAGAGCAGATAATACACACAATTTTTATCAGCATATGTGCATACATTTGTTCAACAATTTGAGTGTGTACCATATACTGTATAGTGTAGCCACTAGAAATGATCTCATGAGAGAAACTTTCAATGAGTGCACAGTTGCAATGGAGAGCAGAACAATTAAATAATGTGAGACCTGTTGGACAGATTATCTAGGCAAAAAACCAACAGAGTAACCATTACTCTTTCAGAGGGAGAGAAGAAATCTAGGGATATCAGTGGTGGGAGGGGAGAGACAGAGGGAGATGGGGTGAGATTGGACAAGGGGCATAAAGAATAAGTACAATTCATAACAATATACATACTAATAATATTGATTCGATCAACATATGTCAACATTGAATCCCAAAAATATGTATAATCAATTATGATTCAAGAAAAAAAATGTATCTTTTAGTGAGTCAAATATATATCTCTAAAAGTACAAGATTGAATTCCTAACTCATCATCTTGATGATACATTGGCAGAATGATAGTTGAAATATACGAATCATACAAAGGTACATATACTGTGAGAAATAGGGTAAGAGCTATGAGGCATGGGAATACGGGATATCCTTTGTAGGAAGACAACAATTAGGTCACTGGGAGACTTTTACGATAGTTTCTGCTGACTTGTAGCATTGATCATTACAACACGTGTCTTCCTTGCATACTTGATATATTTGCTATTAAACTCAGTATGCTTACATGTTGGGAAAGATATATATATATATATATATATATATATTTAATGTGATGTAGTGGATTGGATTATGTTCCCCCAAAA